ACACAGATTAGTTTTAAATAGTATTAAAGGTTTAAATCAGCATTTATTTTGATTGGCTAACTAGTTTCGGAAGGTTTCGCCAATTTCGCCAGTTTTGCCAATTTCATCTTAGTTTCGGATTATCGGAAAGTTTTAGATTTTAGTTCTTGAAAGCCGAAACGTTTCGACCTTAAGATTTTAGTTTCGCTCACACCTTTAACAAAAATATAAAAATACTATCATTTAATAGGTTTTAATGAGATGAATCCAATAAGTTGAATTTTATTTTTAATAATTATTACATAATATATTATTTTTAAAAATTGAAAAATTAATATATATTAATAATTATTAATTTTAAAAAATTAAAAACATTATTATTAAATTTATTTTGATATGAAAAATCTAATAAACTTTATTTTATTTTTTTATAATCATTAGATGTCAAAATATTTTAAGTTTTCTAAAATGTTTTATAAATACTTTAAATAATTTTATACTTACAATTTAAGAGATAATATTAAATTATATTATTTGTTTATTTAATTAATATATGATTTAAAAAAATATAAAATTTATTTTAAAATGATTTAATTATTGTTAATATAATTAATCATTAATTTGAAAAAATTTAAATAAATCTGCAATAAGATATAAACTTCCACATAATACAACAAGTCCACCCTCTTTATTATATTTTGAATAAGCATGAATAAGTGCTTCCTTGATATCCTCAGCAACAAAAGTATTAATATTTTTTTTTACATTCTTTGTATATTCTATAATTTCATTAGGATCATAACAATTTATCCAAGGCATTCCTTCAACTTTTGAAAAACTAACAGCTATTAATGAATCTTCATCTTTTAATAATAACTCAAAGATTTTTATAATATTTTTTCCTTTTGTAGCGGCAAATATCCAATGAACTTTATTTTTATTTTGTCTGTTTACAAAAGTTCTTAAAGCTTTTGCAGCTTGTGGATTGTGAGCGCCATCAATTAAAAGATTAGATGCTATAGGCATTTTTATAACATTTGATAATTTAAAAGCATCTATCCATTGTAACCTTCCGGGCCATTTAGTTGATGAAATTCCATTGATAATATGTTCATTAGTTATATTTGCAAATTTTTTTTCAGTCGTTCTCAACAAATCTATAGCTATAATAGCAGTAGCGGAATTTTCTAATTGAATATTTCCAGAAAGCGGAATATTGATTCTGATGATCGAATGATCCAACAATTTAATCAAAGCCAAACCTGTCTCTTCTTGTTCCCATTTCGCACTTTCTACAAGTATGGTTTTTGTACACCCAATTTCATCAGCACATTTCTTTAATGTATCCACAGCTTCCTTTTCAATTTGAGGAGCAACAACAACATTTCCATTTGCTTTCATGATTCCAGCCTTCTCTTTTGCAATAGATTCAATATTATCACCCAAGAACATTTCATGATCCATTCCTATCAAAGTAATAATACTTAATAAAACGTTATCAAAAACATTGGTTGCGTCTAATCTTCCTCCCATTCCAACTTCAATTATAGCAATATCAATTTGTCGTTTATCAAACCAATATAAAGCTATAGCTGTTAATATTTCGAATGAACTTGCTCCTACATTATTCTTTAAATTTATATCTGTGATAAATTCATTCTCTTTTTTGAAATCTTCCTGTGAAATTGGAAAACCATTTATTTTAATTGAATCATGAGGTTCAAGGAAATGTGGTGAATTGAATCTTCCAGTCTTATGGCCAGATTGTATAAGAATTGAATCTAAATATGCTGACACTGAACCTTTACCATTTGTACCTGCTATATGAATTACTGAAAGTCGTTTATGTGGATTATTTAATAAAGCTAAAAGTGAATTTATTCTTTCTAAACCTAAGTTTATACCGGTTGACATTTTTTTTTTTTTTTTTTTTTCAAAAAAAAAGGGACGATAAATGTTCTGTGTTACGTTGTTCTGATTGGTGAATTTGAATCATTAATAAGAATTCAATAGATAATTGGATAATATTTTTATAGACATTAAATTTGATACTGTTATAATAAAAAAAAAGGTTTCGAAATTCCATTATTTTCGGAAAAGTGAATAATTTCAAACGTTATAAAAAAAACTTTTTTATTGCTTAATTCTTTTAAGGAAATAACCCGTGATGTTGATTCTGCCAATTATTAAATTTAATCAAAACAAAAATTTTTCTCTGATAAAAATTGTGATTGTTATCGATGTAAAAATATTTATATTAAATTAGACAGATGTATGTTTCGAATTTCTGAAGGAATCTAAGATTTATTTGACGATAATTGGATAATTTATGTGGCAAAAGTCTGAAATGGTTCCTTTATCGCGATCGAACTTTATAACATTTAGATTCAAGAATTTGCATAAGGATAAAGTTTATAGAACTTTTTTTTTTTTGTTCGGTATTGGTTAATTTATTGCTTCATCCAATAAAACCTCGCATGTACTTTGATTGTTTTTGAAATTCGTAAACAAAAAAAAAAAATTCAACATTTTATTTTTTGAAACCGAAAATTAAATTAGATGAGTGATCACAAACTGTCCATTGTCCGGGAATTCTTTGTTTCTTGAAGAAGCGATTATATTTTTTTTTTGTATTTTTTGACGTGATATACAAATTCCATAGGAAAATCAGTAGTGAGAAAAGAATATTAAATGAATTAATCGTTTCGTTATATCAATATTTCTGTTTTCTTCCATAAGATTTAGTTTTCCTGATATAACAAAGAACGTGAAGTAGCAAGTAACGGTTAATTAATTTATTGTATAAATTGACAAAGAAATACACAAATTTTTTTGACACGCTGTAACACAAAAAATTTTTGAGATCGCAGAGTTCTGTTCCCTTAATTAGTACATCTGAGAAATGTAAACCTTTCGGGGAAATCATTGGTGAGAAACCGCTAATACGCCCAGAAATTGTTTAACATTCTAACTCTTTATATATTTCAGAATTTCATCATCACTACTAAAAGAGATTTAACAACAAAAATCCCAAATTTGGTGTAAAAAAAGATCGTTTGTGTAATGATCAACAAAAAATATACAAAGAAAACAACGAAACTTAGACTACACGTATATTTGTCTTGGTTGAATATTTAAACCCCAAAAAGCCCCACTAATGGAAGAATTCTTTAGCTGGAACTTTTTCTCCCAAAATTTGTGAATAGATGCATTCCTTTGTTATATATACCATACATATCACCATCATTTCCCCATTTCCTTCATTTTTCTTTTTTGCATATTAATATTTTCATAAAAATATAGAATATAGAATTTTCATTTGTATAAATATATCAGGCATATACATACATTCATTACTCATCATATAGACATTTCAAAATGAAAAAATTCACCTTAATAATAACATTCATTCCTTTCCTCTTGTTGCTGGCAACTCATCGAGGGGAACCTTTATACATCCCAAGACATAACCCCTCGTCAGCATCCATACATTCTAAATTACAAGAAGATGGTTGTGCTAATATACATAATAAATTCAAAAATGCTGGAACCAAAGAAGGTCTTCTCTTCCCCTTTTCGGATTTAAAAGCTTGTTATGAATCTTTTGCTTTTGATAATGAAAGAAGAATTGATGTAATTCATTTTTTTTTTTTAACTTTTCCCCTCCTCTTGATTACAATGCCATTGGAAGTTGACCTTTTTTTTTCTTTTTATATTCTTACTTTAGACCATCGATACCATGAAGAAAATTTTCAACGGATTCTATGTGTTTACCGATCAAGCGAAGGAACAACCAAGTCAAGGGTATAACTATGAAGCGATGGACATCATAAGTGAATTTGATAAATTGAGTCAAAAGGAATATGCAACCGATTTTGAATTCACGGTACGTATTGAATTGCTATATAGACCGAGAATGCTCGAATTTTTCTCACGTAATTTTTCTCTATTTAGATGGATGCTACTAATTTGGTTACCAAATTAAAAGATCCGCATACCTTGTTTTTCCCAATATGTTACACGCGGTTTATTTTCACGCAAAAAATCTTGTTATATGCTAAATTAGAAGATGAAACGCATAAAATTAAAGTTTTCAAGGACAGCGCCGAAACAGAAAATGATGATTGTGAAGTTGAACAAATCGATGGTGTCGCGGCTATCGACGTCATCACGGAATTTGCAAGTGACAAGGTTTTTGTTTCGAAAGATCTTGGTGTCAGATTAAACATGGCATTACCAGCTCTTTCGTTACAACAAGGAACTTATCAACTTCACCCTAGATCCGCTCTATACAATCTGCGTACCACTTTACCCGAAAAAAGAAACCACAACGTATCAATTAAAATGTGGGGAAAATACTAAAACTATAACGCGTAATTGGGAAGCTGCTATAAATAATCTTGATGACCTTAATAAATTCACCGATGCCAACTCTTATTGGGAAAGTCTTTGTGCAAATCCATCTTCATCTCAATCAAAGTCATCGAAAAAACCTAAGCAAAATACTAAATCAAAAAAATCCAAACAACAAAAACACAACCCTAAAAAGCCCAAGGTTAACCCTTTCCCTTTTAATGCTCTTTATGATGCCGATCCATTTGCAGTCAATTCGGAAGTTTTGAAAGAATTAAGTCCTTCAGTTGATGTTGGAAAACCTGTTTTTGAAACTATAAACGCTCAATTTTATATGTTGGAAAATGATGTTGGTGTTGCCGTACTTGCATCTAATGATATTGGACCTGAGATTTCTGATATCACCATCGCGAATTCATTCCGAGACTTGCAAACCGGTTTCAAAACATTAGCCGATAACGGTGCCAAAAAGGTAAACTTCTAACAAGCCTTCACACACACATATATATTTTTTTAAAAAAAAAAATATTTGAAGTCTAATCTAAATTTTTTATCATTCTTTATTATTAGCTCGTCCTGGACATGTCAAATAACGAAGGGGGACTTATTGTCATTGCTCATTTCATTAATTTGCTTTTATTTCCTGATGCAAGTCCGTCATCACCATCCAATTTTAGACTTACCGATATCGTAAAGAAAGCCATTGAAAAAGCAGGCGATAACAATAATTCAATTTTTAACTTTAATGGATATTTAACCGTAGATGAACAAAACTTCAATAGCGCAAGTGAATTTCTTGAATCAAAATTCATTGAAAATGATATAGGTCCTATTAGACAATTTCTTTCCGACCAGGAACCACTTCCATGGAAATCGTCTGATATGATAATTTTAACAAACGGATTCTGCGGGTCTTCATGCTCTTCAACTTCTTTGCTTTTTTCCGAATTACACAAAGTTCAAACCGTTGCAGTGGGGGGATTTCCAAATACCCCATTATCTTTCAGTTCATTTGCCGGTGGTCAAGTTTACCTTCTTGACGATCCTTTGAAACGGGGATTTGATTTACAAAATGATATCAATTCATTAGGTTTAGTTGATGATCCTGAATTTGCCAAAGATCTTTCAACCAACGTTATGGTCACATTTTCCATAAGGAGAGCTTTTAGTGTCGTTAACAATGAAGAAGTTCTTGAGTACGCTTTTAAACCTTCCACGCATCATATTTTCTTTGATGAAAATAGTATTAGGGATCCAAGTAAATTGTGGTCTCAAGCTTCATCTCTGATAAACTCTTAAAACAAACAACACTTTTTTTACACTCATTACAATCAAAACACACGATATGTATAATATAAAAACACGCATTTGTATCTATATTTTGCATTAATTCACACATTTTGCATTTTGCATTTTCATAGAATAATTTTTTCATTTTTTGCATTTCATTCCTCAATTTTGGAGAGATTGAGAAAAAGTTCCAGTACACTTTTCTTTCTTTTCTTTTCTTTGCATTCCTTTACACTTTCTAAATATCTTCAACATTCATTCATTATATAAATGTCTCTTTCATTCTGTATTTACACAAAAAAAAAAACTGAACGCAACTGCTTTCAAAAACAATATTCGTTCAGAAAATATTAATATAATGTCAACGAAAAAATAAAAATTATTGTGTGTATATAACATAGAATTTTTTAGATAGTCAGTAAGAAAATAAAAAGAAATTATTATTAATAATAATAAAATCAATATTACCATCGCGTTACATTTTTTGATTTTTCAATCACAGATTTATTAAATGCAATTCTCTGCTTAATTCGTTAATTTTAAAACTTATTATCCGCATTGAGTAAAAAGGTGATTCATCTTTAAAGAAAAATTTGTATTTTGGTAGTAAAATCAAACACAGAAAAGGCACGTGTTTTTTCTTCAAAAAAACCCCTTTCTTCCTTGGATGAAGCTTCGCCACATTGAAGTTTAATTCCTAGAAAGTATAAAAGGTTTGTGACTAGGTTACTTTTAACGATAAAATTACTACGCCATTATCGGGTCATGTAACAATTGCTTGACCAATTGCTGCAGAGTACATCATCAAAAAAATGGCTTTTTGTTGAATTTCCATGTTTAAATTTTAATCGTAACACATGATAAATCACAGAAATTCGACCCTTTTTTTTAAAAACCTTTTCTTTCTTTTCCCCTCTTCTTGAAAGTTAAGCAAACATACGAAAAAAAACAAGTTATAATTTAATTTGAATGACTTCAAACGATAGAATTATTTTAAATGTCGGTGGTATAAAGGTATTTGTTTTTAAAAAAATTTCGTTTAATAGAAAGTTTTTATTCTAAAATTCCTTCAAAAATTTGTAGTATGAAACAAAAAAATCGACCATTGCTAAATATCCTAACACACGTCTTGGGGAAATATTTAATGGAAATCATAAATCATGTTTGACAAATAAGAATGAATATTTTATCGATCGTAATGGTTATGCGTTCCGTTACGTATTAGAATATTATCGTACAGGTCAAATTTTGTGGACGACTTCAAATGAACCGGGAGGATGTTGTAATGGGGTTAGTCGTAAAGAGATGATTTTGGAATTTGAATATTATCAAATTCCAAATAATCTAAAGCAAGAACAAGAACAAGATGATAAAGAATATGATTTAAATGTAGTCAGAGATTTAATTATTAAAGAAATGTCAAATGCAACCTTTTCTTCCGTGACTCCTTTGACTAATACGAGACCATCAACCATCGATACTACTCAGACTTATGTACCTAACAATGATGGTAATAATGAATTGATCAGATTGAATAGGTGGACGACATTCGAAGAACATGGTCAAATTGTGGATTCATTTATAATTGCTTTAAAACATGTGATTTATGAAATACATCGTAATTTTAGAAGACAAGTTAATTTCTTTTTTCATTATAGGCTACCTGTAAATGAAAATCAAAGTCATAATACTTGTTCTTCGATTTACGTTGATTTAGATCTTGATAGCATAAGAGAAATTATGAAACCATTTCGAATAAGCGGATATAGATTATTGGAATTGTATGGGAGCGATATTGAAAAAAAATTGAAAGGAGATTTTGAGGATACTATTACATTTGAAATCCGTAAAAATACTCCCTCTAGCCCTTTTTGTTTAACCATTACAATCCTTACTCCCTTCAATCATCAATACATTCTTTTTAAGTCTTGTCTTGTAAGGAAATAAGAAAACCTCGGAATTTCTTCATTAGTTTATTTATTTGATCTATTTTTATTTCTCTGACTCGGAATTTAATTTTTTTGGGGGGTGCATTCCGTTGAATGAATTAATTGTTCTTTAAAATTTATAAATTGGAATTGTTTCAACTTTTTTTTTTTTTCTTTCTTCCTTAATGCCACCGAGACGTATTATAGTATTATTTTAATGGCTCGATCGATTGATGAACGTTTTGAACGGGAATTAGTAAAATACTTTCTTTAATTTGAAATGTAATTTATGGACCGACTAATTAACTAAGTTTAATAGTTGTTAATAATATAATTATTTTTTTTTATTAAATATAATGATTTTATTGTTAAGTTATAAATCACAGCTATATAACATTGCAAAAATTAAATAATAAAATCACATTTAAAATCTAAAAATATTTATTTTGAACTAAATTATTTTAAAATTTAAATATAAATTATATTAATTTATAATTAGTTTTCTAGGTTATTAAGAAAATAATTTTAAAGTTAATTATTACTTTTAATAAAATAATAAATAAATAAATTTTATATTAATACTTTATATTATATAAATGATTTAATAAAGTAAAATTAAATTATCTTATAATTATTGTAATTAATACTATCTTTTCAATATGTTCTTTTATATAAAATTAAATATATAAAATTATAAAGTTATAAAAATAATCGATATAATAAAAGATGATAAATAATTTAAAAGTTATAATAATGATAATAATGATGAAAGTAATTAATCATCTAAAAATAATAAAATAAAAATTATTATAAATAACCAAAAAAAAAAAATATAAATATATAAAAATCATTAAAAATATTAATAATATTTTTATTATTTTATTATTTTATAAAAATCAAAAAATACTTTATTATATAAACCTTTATTATAAAAAGAAAAAAAACTACTAGAAAAATCAATTTAAATTATATAATAAATGTGATTTTTAGATTAAAATATATTTAGATTTAACATAATTTATTTTTTTATTTTTTATAGCAGTTTCTATTATAAAAGTTCTATATACAGTCAACTCTTGTTATAACGAACTCTATGTCCTAGACCTCAACTTCGCTATAAGGCTATAGTGAAGAGTTT